CCGCTGTTTGCTCGACCGATGCCTGCTCGCTTGCGTCCGCTGGCCAAAAAGTGGTTCAGAGGCTTCCTGGGTTCCTGTGAAGATCTCTTGGGAGGCCTCTCGGAAGCTTATTGAAAGCAGTTTTGGCGGTGTCCTAGGGCACCTTGGGATTTTGGGGGCTTCTTGGGGCCTGACTTGGGCGTTTCGAGGCCTTTCGAAGGCCTTTTGGGGCCTCTTGGGCGCACCTCGGGGGCTCGTGGGGGGATCTTGGGGCCATCTTGGCATCTTGGGGCGGAGGGCTCAACATGTTAGTTCGTGTTCCCCATCTTGGGCTCCTCTTGGGGCTGCTTCGGGGCCTCTTAGGCCCCTCTTGGGGGCTCTTGGGCCGTTTTGGGGCGATCTTAGGCGCCTTTTAGGCTTTCTGGGACGCAGAGGCGGTATTGCGAGCACCATACAGAAACCAGTGGCTCTCGCCGAATGTAGCCTCTAGGGCCACCCTCCAGAGCCTCCAAGACGTTCCAAGAGGCGCCCGCCCTAGAGGGCTCCAGGACAGTCCCCGGGGCCATTTGAAATCATGTTGGACATGCATGTTCCGAACAACGCGCTTTTGGCCTTTCGAGAAGTCACGCTGGGACCCCAAGAGCGTGCAACAGCGCCTAAGAGGGCCCGGAACTCCAGGTTGTGGGTTTTTAAAGAAGATTCAGAGAACTCAGTGCAGAGAACTCGAGGGGATTTAAGGACACTTCAGCTCGTGCCTCAGGACACGGAGGCGGATATTTTGTATATAGTAGCCAGTGTGGACCCGAGCAGTAAGCTATTGCACTGTGGATGTGTAAGCCATGTGGTGCAAGCTATGTGGTGCAAGCTGTGTGGTGAAGTGTACGTGGTGAAAGCTAGGTGCGGCCACGAGGCGGCCACGGGCGGCAACGTTGCGGCGAAGCCTCGCCAGACCCACCCATTCATTGCACGAGGCGGCCACGAGGCGGCCACGGGCGGCAACGTGGCGAAGCCTCGCCAGACCCACCCAGCGCACGAGGCCGCCACGAGGCGGCCACTTGCAGCACCTTGGCGAAACCTCGCCAGACCCACCTAGCGCACGCGGCGGCCACGAGGTGGCCACGGGCGGCAACGTGGCGAAATTTCGGCGGATCCACTTCGCGCACGAGGCGGCCACGAGGTGGCCACGGGAGCCAATGTTGCGAAACCTCGACGGACACACCCAGCGTACGTAACTTCGCCGGACCCGCCCAGCGTGCGAGGCGGCCACAAGGCGGCCACGGGCGGCAGCGTGGCGAAATCTCACCAGACCCATGCAATTCTTTAGTGGCATGAGGAAGTACCCTTTGACTGCAAGCAGTACTTGGGGATGACGTGTATATACATATATACACATATGTACAAGACTGCATTGGCGCTTCGCGCCATGCGCCTGGTCCTGGACGCTTCTCGGAAAAGCAACAAGTCATCGCGTGTTCAGCAGAGGGGGCGTCGAGGTCTGGACGGGCGACTGGCTCATTTTTCTGCTATCCCTGAACCTTGCTAACACTGCGTTCGCCCGATGGGCTTGCACGCCTGTGCGCAGAAGTGGGGAGGGAAGGATCATTGCTTCACGCGCGAATGTGCTGGCACACGACGAAGCATCAAACGATTGCGATTGCACCTGTCTGCGAACGGGGAACGGGAAGGGAGCAGGGGGAGCGGGGGCTCAAGGGGCGGAAAGGGGGGAAGAGGGGGGAGAAACGGGGAGAAGGTCCAGAGGAAGGAGCGGGCGAATGAAGGTGGCCATCCGATGCCAAGGACGTGGAGGTCGACAAAGAAGGCAGAAAAGGGGGACGGGAGAGAGAGAGAGAGAGAGAGAGAGAGGAAAAGGGCACAGTCAGAGTGAGACAAATGCCAAGGACGATGGTGGTACGGGAAGGATAGGCGGGCCTGCGGGGGTGCAACGAGCGCACCCTGGAGGGGTCTTGGACGCTTGTGGGGCTTCTGAAGTTCTTTCGAACCACCGTCCTGCGGCGTCGTGGAGTGTAAGAGAACTGCTGGAAGCTATATTGGAACGGTGTGGGCTCGCGTTTGAGCTCCTGGTGACTCTCCGGACCAGAAGACTTCTTTTGGGGCTGGTTTGGGCCGTCTTAGAACCCTTTTGGGCCGTCCCGGAACCGTCTTTTTGTCGGTTTGGGAGGCCGGGCCGGCCAGGGGCTTCGGCCCTCTTGGGGCACTCTTGGGGGCCTCCTATGGCTCTCTTGGGGCTCTCTTGGGAGTTCTCGGGGCCCTCTGGGGCCCCTCTTGGGCCGCCTTGGGCTTCTCTTGATCCGTCTTGGGGCTCTTTTGGGCCGCCTTGGGCCGCTCATCGAGGCCTCGGAGGCCGTCCTGGGGCGATCTTGAGAGTCTCTGGGAATACCGTGGACGCTGTGAAAGCGGAAAAGCTAATATCTTCAAAAGCGTACGTTTCTTTAGGGAATGGGGCGATTTTTGGCTCTTGGGGGTCCCTTTTGGGGCCTCTCGGACCGTCTTGGGGGCCTCGTGGGTCGTCTTGAAACCATATAATATTGGGTCCTCTTTGAGCGCTGATGGGCCGTCTTGGGGCCCGTTTTGGGCCCGTGGGCTCCGATCGGCAGGGGCGTCCAACTGCCCGGAAGGCCGCCGGGACTCCGAAAGGGCGTCCAGGGCGTTCGTTGGGTGGAGGGCAGGTGCGTCTGGGGTGTCCTGGGGGTGGTGGTCCGGTTTCGGGGTGGGTGGGTTGGTGGGGGGGTCTGGGTAATAGAAGCATAAGAATAGGAATATGTATGTCTATATGTTTACACACCTTCTAATACTTGTGTGCACGGTATATATATATATATAGATATACATACATATTTGTATAGGCATGTATATATATACACATATATATATATATGGGCATGTATACATACATGTGCATTCCGATTCCCATTTTCTCGTCACCTAGACACACCCCATACCCCTCTCTAAACCAGACCCCTGGATCCCTGGCCCCAGGGGCGCCCCGGACGCTCTTGCAGAGGGTCCCGGGGGCCTTCTGGGCAGCGGGACTGGACGCCCCTGCCGTGCTCAGCCAGCAGGCCTGGAACGGTCTGGCAGGCGGCCAGACAGCCCCACGACGGCCCAAGGCGGTCCCAGACACCCTTCGAAAACGCCCTACGACGACCCACTGAAGGTCAGCCACGCGCAGAGGGGGGTGGGGGGAGGGGGGAGGGCTTCTTTCGAAGCACCCCTGCTTCTCAGAAGGGCGCGGGGCCTTATCTGTAGATTTTAAGGCCGGCGCCTTCTAAGAAGCAGCCTCCTTCGAAGAAGCCCTCCCCCCCTCCCTCCACCCCCTTGTGCGCGCCGCCGAGAAGGCCCTCAGGTCCCGTCCAAACGTAAGATGTAACAATTGTCGGGCCCTCATGAGGCAAACACTGTCCCATTCCTTCCCGAAAGGCTGTGAAAGAGAAGACTCGATCTCACGTTTCGAGGCCTCCACCCTGGGCAGGCAGGGTGGCGAACTTGATGAGTCGTGTGAAAGAGAGAGAGAGAGAGAGAGAGAGAGAGCGAGAGAGCGAGAGAGCGAGAGAATGGAGATAGAGAGAGAGGGAGATAGAGCATGGGAGATAGAAAGAGAGAGAGAGAGAGAATGAGGGAGATAGAGAGAGAGAGAGAGAGCGAGAGGAGGGGGATGATGGAGCATGGGAGAGGAGGACGGGCCATGCTGCTGCTGATGATGATGATGCTGATGCGGATGATGATGCTGCTGATGATGCTGATGATGATCATGATGCTGCTGATGATGATGATCATGGGGATGATGGGGATGATGCTGATGAGGATGCTGATGATGATTCTCATGATGATGATGATGATGATGATGATGATGATGATGATGATGATGATGATGATGATGATGTCGATGATGCTTCTGCTGCTGCTGATGATGATGATCCTGATGTTGACGCTGCTGCTGGTGATGATGATGCTCTGGCTGCTGCTGCTGCTGAAGATGATGATGCTGGTTATGCCGATGACGATGATGATTCTGATGATGATAATGGTGTTGATGATGGTGGTGTTGAGGATGCTGATGATAGTGTTCACCATGTTGATGATGATGCTGGCGAGGATGACGATGACGATGATGCTGCTGATGATGAGGAGGAGGCGGAGGAGGAGGAGGAGGAGGAGGAGGAGGAGGAGGAGGAGTAGGAGATGACGATGACGATGACGATGACGCTGACGATGACGACCACGACGACGATGATGACTATGCTGATAATGGTGCTGATGATGATGACGATAATGCTGATGATGATCATGATGATGCTGCTGCTGATGATGATGATGATGATGACTCTGATGCTCATTCTGATGATGATGCTGATGATGCTGATGATGCTGATGATGCTGATGATGATGATGATGATGATGATGGTGGTGGTGGTGGTGCTGCTGCTGCTGATGATGATGATGATTATGATGATGACGATAAGGAGGTTGAGGAGGAGGAAGAGGAGGAGGAGAAGGTGGAGGGGGGAGACGGAGGAGGAGGAGGAGGAGGAGGAGGAGGAGGAGGAGGAGGAGGTGGAGGAGCAAGAGGAAGATACTTCATCATATTATCATGAATAAGATTAGGAATAACGAAGTCATCATAATACCAGTGATCATCGTAGTACTAATGATAAGAACAACAGAAGAATACCAATTCGAAACAGAAGAATACGACAACCAGTAATAATACGAATAAGAAAAATACGTATCATAATACTACTACTGATAATAAAAGGACGAACAATAATAAACAGTCATAATACGAGGAGGAGGGGGAGGAGGAGGAGGAGGAGGAGGAGGAGGAGGAGGAGGAGAAGGAAGAGGTCGAGGAGGAGCAGGAGCAGGAGCAGGAGTAGCAGGAGCAGGAGGAGTAGCAGGCACAGGAGGAGGAGGAGCACGAGGAGGAGGAGCACGAGGAGGGGAACAGGGCGAGGAGGAGCTGTCCGAACGCCGCCCCCCCCCCCTCGGCGCAGCAGCGCTGGCTCCGCCGCCCGGCCACTCGCCCGCCATGGCTCCCAAAGCGAAGAAGGACGACAAGAAAAAGGCGGGGGGTCTTCCTTCCTCCTGCTCCTCCTCCTCCTCGTTTCCTTCTTATTTTGTCTCTCCTCCTCCTCCTCCTCCTCGTTTCCTTCTTATTTTGTTTCTTCTCCCTCCTCCTCGTCTCTCTCTTCCTCTCCCCGAAGAAGAGGAGCTGCATACAACATGAATGTTTGGCGCTCCGCGCGGATTCCTTGCATCTGCGCCAGGGGGGGCCCAGCGCGGATCCAAGAACTCCACGCGGAGCGTCAAAAGTTTATGTTTCTGCGTTTTTTTGTTCGTTTTTCTTCTTCTTCTTATTCTTCTATCTTCCTCCACCTGAGGCTAAGGCCGCGGACGTGTCGCTGCTGGTGGCGCCCTCGAGGCCCTCCCCCTGGCCATCGCTGGGCCTCTTCCATCTTCTCCTCCTCCGCGAGCCCTCCTCCCTCAAAATCGACCTCCTGACCTGTCCCGGAGCGCGGTCTGACCATGGTGTCGAGGTGGATGCGGAAGTGGCGACGAGGACCCTGATTCCTCCTCTTGCTCGTCTTCCTCCTTCTCCTCGCACTGTCGCCCTAACAGCCGTATTCGAGCGACTGTGCAAGATTGCTTCAATCAACCTCGTCCCGAGGGAGCTCTTAAGAGGGCATGTGGAGGCAAGCGTCGTGGCCAGGTTCGACTGCGAGCGGTGGGAAGGTAAAGCTGGGGCAGCATGGGCTCCGCGGGTACAGATCGGTACGACTCTGCACCCTTGGTCCACGGCGTCGGCGCGTGCAGCGCCACGAGCTCTAGCGCGGAGCTCGCCGCATGCAGATCTCTTTGCGCTTACGTTGAGCATGTGTGCGGGCAAGAGTTGTGTCCGTATTCACTGCGTCTTGGACTTTCTGGGCAGGGGCACTACAAGGCCGAGGCGCAGTGAACATGCATGCAAATCTAGCCCCCCAAAGGGGCCAGATCTTTATACAGATCCACCGCCTCGGGCTTCTGGGGAAGGGAGCCCGAAACTCTAAGACGCAGTGGATATGCAACAGAATCTTGCCCGCAACATGGCGGAAAAGCTGGCCGCCTGTGGGATGCCGGAGGCGGTGGAGGAGGAGGAGGAGGAGGAGGAGGAGGAGGAGGAGGAGGAGAGGAGAGGAGGAGGAGGAGGAGGAGGAGGAGGAGGGAGGAGGAGGAGGAGGAGGAGGAGAGGAGGAGGGGGAGGGGGACTTGGGCATTGATGAAGTCCAGAGGGCTCCTCGCCGAATGCGGCCGCGGCTCTCCGTGGCCGATGCGCTCCGTGCGTGCGCTCCGCAGTGTCATGCCATCTCCGCTCGGGCTGCCGGGTCTGGCACTCAGCCCAGAAAAAGGTCAGCGGGTCCTCCTCTCCTCCTCCTCCGCCTCCTCCTCCTCCTTCTCCTCCTCCCCTCCTGCTCCTCGTCCTCTTCCTCCTCCTCCTCCTCCTCCTCCTCCTCCTCCCTCCCCTTCCTCCTCCCTCCTCCTCCTTCTGCTACTCCTCCTTCTGCTCCTCCTCCTCTTTCTACAAATACATAATATGAATGCTCTCTCTCTCTCTTTCTGCCCTGGTGACGTCCAGGAAATAGCAATATCCGGCCATCCTCCGCGTACTTATCTATATTTATATATATATATATATATATATATATATATATATAAAGGATTCCGGGGAGTTGATTTTCGCTTGATTTTTTTCAAAGTGCTGCTCTGGCTGAAGCTCTGGCCTCATTTTCGGGCTACTGCTCGTTCCGAATCGCGCTCCCGCTGCAGCGCTGGCCTCATTTCCGCGCTTCCGCTCGTTCCGAATCTTGCTCCCGCTGCAGCGTTGGCACCTTTGTTTCTAGCACCATGCCACGGCGTGGTATTCGGTCCTTCCAAATATGCTCCAAAGTCTAGAACGTGCACCCCCGAAACAACCATCGGAAGTGATTCCACATTCGGTGTCGATTCGCTGATTTTTTTGGTCGCAGAAGCCCCCCCCCACTTTGGGGCGTCGCCACGCCATGTTATGTCAGGCTGAACGCCCTCCGAATCGTGCTCCCGCTGCAGCGCTGGCCTCATTTCCGCGCTTCCGCTCTTTCCGAATCGTGCTCCCGCTGCAGCGCTGGCATTATTATTTCGAGCGCCATGCCACGGCATGGTTTTCGGTCCTTCCAAAGATGCTCCAATATCTAGAACATGTCCACCCGAAACAACCATCGGGAGTGATTCCAGAGTCGGTGTCGATTCGCTGATTTTTTGGAAAGCAGAAGCCCCCCTTACTTTGGGGCAATGCTACGCCATGCTATGTCAGGGTACGCGTTGGTCTTCAACACCATGCTATGATGTGCAATGCTATGCACTGCTACGACGTCCGACTGTGCGTACAGAGGGGAGATCTACGCCACGGTAAGGCATGTGAGGGAGGGTTAGGACGTCAGATATGGCGCGAGCGCACCTGGCTTGTCTCCTCCCCCTCCCTTCTCCTCCTCTTCCTGCTTCTGCAATTATACATTATGAATACTACTCTACATCTGTCCTGTGGCGCGTTCAGGCCTAGGTCTCGAGGCGAATGCGGTCGTGGCGACGGGGGTACCCTGGGCCCCTGGTCATGTTCTCTTCTCCTCCGTCGCTTCCTGCTCTGCTCTTCCTTGCAGATTGTCTGCTCCTTGTTGATTGTCCCTCCTTCCCTTCCTTCCTTCTTCGCCTCCACCTGCTCTTCCTCCTGCTCCCGAGCGCGCCCCTGGCACCTGAGCGCCTCAGGGGAAGACCGTAGCCGTGACGTCCAAGAAGGCAGAGGAGGCCAGGAAGAAGGACCGTCCCGAGGGGCCCTGGCCAGGGGAGGAGGAGGCGGATGATGATGATGCTGCTGATGAGGCTGATGATGATGATGCTGATGATGCTGATGATGATGATGATGCTGATGCTGATGATGCTGATGCCGATGCTGAGGCTGGTGATGATGATGCTGATTCTGATGATGCTGATTCTGATGATGATGACGATGATGCTGATGATGATGGTGATGATGGTGGGGATAATGATGAAACCGACGATGGCAATGACGACACTGCTGATACTGATGGTTATGTTTCTGCTGCTGCTGCTGTTCAGGTTAATGTTGATGATGGCGATGGTGGGGACGTTGCCGCTGATGATGATGCTGATGTTGATGCGGCTGATGCTGATGCTGATGATGCTGCTGCTGCTGATGCTGCGGCTGATAAGGATGAGGATGCCGTTGCTGCTGCTGGTGATGCCTGCTGCTGATGATGATGACGAGGATGATGGTGATGCGACTGCTGCTGCTGCTACTGACCATGGTGGAATACTGCTGCTAAAGATGATGGTGATGCTGATGCTGATGATGATGACGATTCTGATGCTGATGATGATCATGCTGATAATGCGGCTGATGATGCTGATGATGCTGATGCTGATGCTGATCGTGGTTGTGGTGGTGGTTGTGATTGCCATGAGGTTGATGAGGTTGATGGTTGTGGTTATGATGATGGTGATGCGGATGCTGATAATGATGCTGATCGTGATGGTGGTAATGTCGATGATGCTGATGACGCTGATGGTGATGATGACGATGAGGATGCTAATGTTGATGGTGATGCTGTTGATTACGATGGTGATGCTGAATTTGCCGATGATACCGATACTGATGATGATGACGCTGATGATGATGATGATGCTGATGATGATGATGATGACGACAATGACGACACTGCAGATCCTGATGACGATGCTGCTGCTGATGCTGATGATGATGATGCTGCTGCTGCTGCTGCTACTGACCATGGTGGAATACTGCTGCTAAAGATGATGGTGATGTTGATGCTGATGATGATGACGATTCTGATGCTGATGATGATCATGCTGATAATGCGGCTGATGATGCTGATGATGCTGATGCTGATGCTGATCGTGGTTGTGGTGGTGGTTGTGATTGCGATGAGGTTGATGAGGTTGATGGTTGTGGTTATGATGATGGTGATGCGGATGCTGATAATGATGCTGATCGTGATGGTGGTAATGTCGATGATGCTGATGACGCTGATGGTGATGATGACGATGAGAATGCTAATGTTGATGATGATGCTGTTGATTACGATGGTGATGCTGAATTTGCCGATGATACCGATACTGATGATGATGACGATGATGATGATGATGATGATGATGATGATGACGACAATGACGACACTGCAGATCCTGATGACGATGCTGCTGCTGATGCTGATGATGATGATGCTGCTGCTGCTGCTGCTGCTGCTTGTGCTGATGATGGTGGCGGTGGTAGTTATGAGGAGGAGGGCGACCCATATTTGTGTGTACACATGTTTGTATAAAAGGGCACATTCAAATATGTACATGTGTAGAATCCTGTAGCACAGCGTGCCATATACATAAAAACAATACGGGGGGGGAGGTGGAGGAGGAGGAAGACTATTCAGGATGGAGGGTGCTTCAGCTGCCTGGCTTCGCTGAAACCACCGCTCGCTTGCTCGACTGCTAGTGCCAGGGCCGTCTTTGGTGATGCAGCATGGCTAGTGAATTTGCCGTGTGAGAGCCCCGTAAGTTTGTTTCTCGTCCATTCTTAGTGGGGTCGTTACACTCATAGCTTAATTGGTGGCAATCGACTGTGGCAGTCCAGCCACGGCCGTGGCCGAAGTGCATGCTACAACTACCCCATAATCCAAGCTGATGGGATCGATTCAGGCGACACCCACCGACGGAAACAGGGCCAGGGACCGACACGATGACATTGAGCGGACAGTACCCCGACGACGCCGAACACTGCGAACTACAAGCTTGCAAGCGCTCGCGCAGTGTTGTGGCCGCAGCAGGAGCATGTCCAGCGCGCCCCGCACCTGGAAGCATGATGAGCACTCGCTCTAGCACAGGAGCTGGAGGTGGAGGAGCATGCTATGACCAGGATCTTCTGCTTAGCGTGTTACGCAGCCAGTGCTGGCCCACCATTCTTCGGCGCGACACGCTAACAACGGCCGGCTTCCCAGCCATCCACGTCCCCAGTCTCTCCGAGCCTCCCGCCTCTTGGAGCGGAGCGACACGCTATCAGCTCGCAGGGCATGGCGTGTCGCCTGGGCCGCCGCCGCGACACGCCAGGCAAAAGCTCGTGACCGTAACCACCACCTCCCTCCTCCTCTTCCTCCTCCTCCTCCTCCTCCTGCGGCACTGCAGGTGGTGGCTCACAAACAAACAATAAGGATGCGACGTGGAGGTCCCCAGGCCACCTTGCGAGCAGGCCAGGCCCATTGTGGTGGCACGCAGTACGGAACATGTCCTTGCTTACTGCGCCAGCCTCGGGCGGTACCGATGTACCCGATGCGGAGTCACGGCCACAACAGGCTCCTCCCTCGAGTCGCTGCAAACTGGCTCTCATCGTGTATGTCGCCATTCGCGTGTTGCCAAAGCTCTCAACTCCGAGTACTTCCGCGCCTTCGGCGAGGGCTGGGTTCTCTGCAGCGACCAGAGGGCTGGCATGGCCCTGGGCGCGGCCTTGGCGCTCGAAGGGCGCTCAAAGCCCTCGGCCCCCGCAGCCTTGTTGCCACCTGCCCTGGCCGAGGAGGTCGGGGACGCCATCGCTGCGCTTAGGCACGACGTTTTCAGGGGCAACAGTGTTTACTGTTGCCGGCGCTGCGGGTCTCACTGTGCTGCGGGAGATGCCCGCACAGTGCGGAAGCTTGGCTTGAGGTGCGACGGGCTCTCGTCCAACGAGTCCACGCGCCGCAACCAGCAAGATGCGATCAGGCGCGTCGAGAGGGGCCTGGCGCCTCGTGCCCGACGTACCCCAGCAGCGCTGCCCTCGCAGGGGGGTTCTTCTTGCAGCCACGCGGCGCGTTGATCGACCATGTCGTGATTCGCTGCCGTTCCGTGGTGGCGCGGCGTCTTCTTCGGTGGCGACGCCTCCTTCGTCGGCGGCAAGTTGGCCTGCGTCCACGGCCTTGAGGGCGACTTCTTCCTGTTGCTCTCCTCCTACATTGCCTCCTGCTCTTACGGCACCGTGCCGTGAGTAGCCGGCGCCAGGGGGTAGTCCGTCGCGCGCCCGCGTGCGCGGCGGGAGACCTTGCTGAGGCGTTGCGCTCCCCCTCCTCCCCTTCCTCCTCCTCCTCCTCCTCCTCCTCCTCCTCCTCCTCCTCCTCCTCCTCCTCCTCCTCCTCCTCCCCCCCTCCTCCTTCTCCTCCTTCTTCTCCCCATCCTCCCCCTCCTCCTCCTCCTCCTCCTCCCCCTTCTCCTCCTCGTCATCGTCCATTCCCTTTCCTTCTGCATAAGTTTTCCCTGTCGAACCTCGGGGCCAGTTTTTAGGGCGGGCCTGGTGTTTCGCATGAGACTTCTTCACCATTTTTGACCTTGAAGCTTAACCAGTTGCAACCTTTCCACATGTGGAGGGCGAGTGGTTTTCAAAATCTGGCTCTCGCCTTAGCGCCGCGCGCATTCGTTTTCAACATTTGCCAGAGTTTCACGGATGGAGGACGGGTTGCTTTCAACGTGTGGCTCTCGCGTTAGCGCCGCGCACGTTCGTCTGAAAGTTTTGCAAGAGTTTCGCGGGGCGGCGGGCGGTTTTCAAAATCTGGCTCTCGCCTTCGCGCCGCGCACATTCGTTTTCAACATTTGTTGCCAGAGTTTCACGGATGCAGGGCGGGTTGTTTTCAACCTGTGGCTTCGCCTTAGCGCTGCGCGCATTCGTTTCACAATTTGCAAGAGTTTCACGCATGGAGGGCGGGTGGTTTTCAACATGTCGCTTTCGCCTTAGCGCCGCGCGCATACGTTTTCAATGTTGGCAAGAGCTTCGCGGATGGAGACCGGGTGGTTTCCAAAATGTGGCTCTCGCCTTAGCGCCGCGCGCATTCGTGTTAGAAGCTTGCACGAATTTCACGGGTTGAGGGCGGTTCCTGTTCAACATGTGGTTCTCGCCTTAGCGCCGCGCACATTCTTCCGCGAAAATTGCGAGAGTTTCACGGGCTCCCGTGGTCAGCGTGCCATCCATCGTGCTTCGGAAAAGGGGTTCAGGGTTTTGAGGGTGCAGCAGCCACTTTGATTCGCGGTGTTGAAGTCCCGCGAATGGCGTTCTGGCACGAACCCAGATCGTCAAAACGGAACAGTCAGGTTAACCCGTGGCGTTGGAATCCCGAAAACAATGTTTTGGCATGTTTCAGGGTCTTGAAACGGATGTCTTCTGACGGGGCAGTTCCCCCCGTGGAAATGAACCGTTATAACGGGCCTATGGGGGGGGAGTTTGGAGGGAGGGTTTATTCCAAAATCGTTGATGATTTTTGGGTTTACAATGGTCCTCCTCCTCCTCCTCCATCTCCTCCTCCTTCTCCTCCCCGTCCTCTTCCTCCTTTTCCCCTCCTCCTCCTCCTCCTACCTTGCCTCCTCCGCCTCCTCCTTCACCTCCTCCTCCTCGTCTTCCTCCTCCTTCACCTCCTCCTCCTCCTCCTCCTCCTCCTCCTCCTCCTCCCCCTCCTCCTCCTCCTCCTCCTCCTCCTCCTCTTCCTCCTCTCCTCCTCCTCCTCCTCCTCCTCCTCCTCACCTCCTCCTCCTCCTCCTCCTCCTCCTCCCCTCCCCTCCCCCCCTCCTCCTCTCCTCCTCCTCCTCCCCCTCCTCCTCCTCCTCCTCCTCCCTCCTCCTCCTCCTCCTCCTCCTCCTCCTCCTCCTCTCCTTCTCCTTCTCCCCCTCCTCCTCCTTCCTCCTCCTCCTCCTCCTCTCCTCCTCCTCCTCCCCCTTCCTCCGCCTCTCCTCCTCCTCCTCCTCCTCCTCCTCCTCCTCCCCTCCTCCTCCTCCTCCTCCCTCCTCCTCCTCCTCCTCCTCCTCCTTCTCCTCCTCCTCCTCCTCCTCCTCCTCCTCCTCCTCCCTCCTCCTCGCCTTCCCCTCCTCCTCCTCCTCCTCCTCCTCCCCCTCTTTCTCCTCCTCCTCCTCCTCCTCCTCCTCTTTCTTCTCCTCCTCCTTCTCCTCCCGTCGTCCTCTTCCTCCTGTTTTTTCTCCCCCTCCTCCTCATCCTCTTTCTCTTCCCTCCTCCCTTCGTGTCGCACACCCAGACGTGTCGGCAGGGCGGGCCAGGCGTTTCCCCTGAGATTTCCGCACCATCCATCCTCCTGAAACTTACAAGTCGCAGCAGTTTCAAGGAGTACGGGCGGGCCTTTTTCAAAATGCAGCTCTCGCGTCAGTGCCGCGTAGACTCCTTGTAAAAAAGGTGGCAACAGTTTCAAAGATGGGAGGCGGGCCGTTTTCAAACTGTGATTCTAACTTGCACGTTCGTTTCGAAAGTCCGCAGCAGCTTCAAGGATGGAAGGCGAGCCGTTTTTCAAAATGTTGCTCTCGTCTCAGCGCTGCGCACATTCGTCCTGAAGATTTGCAGCCATTTCAAGGATTCGTCAGGACGCAACCAGTCACATTGATCTGCGGTGTTGCTGTCCTAGGAATTGATGTTCTGGCACGAGTTGTCAGGACCCAACACACGTTGATTCGGGGCGTCGAAGTCCCAGGAGGAGCTGTTTGACACAATGGAGAATTCCCTCACGATTGTCTTCGGGCATTTCCCGCAATGCAGATGATCAGTTCTTGTAGGGACCTCTGAAGAGGCAATTCGGAGGGTGGGTTTTCTGCAATCTCGGTGATGCGTCATGGGTCAACGCTGGTCCTCGCCCTCGTCCTCGTCCTCCTCCTCCTCCTCCTCCTTCGGACCTGCCTCCTCGGAGGCAGGCCAATCCAGCATCCAGCATCCTTCTCCTCCTCCTCCTCCTCCTCGGTCTCCTCCTCCTCCTCCTCCTCCTCCTCCTCCTCCTCCTCCCCCCTCCTCCCCGCGTTAGGCACCTGCTTGGCGCCGCCCCGTCCGCGAGACGCCGCCGCCGAGAGCGGTGACTCCAGACCCCCGACGTCATGATTTTTTTCATGGCGCGAACCCCAGAGGTCGGGACCCATTCCCCAGGACCGGTTCCCCATCCTGAGTCGTTTTTTGATGGTCCCGAGGCTTGGTAAGGGTCACCAGGGGCCTGAAATAGCGAAGAACTTTCCGCCGCGACTTCTTCATGACTCGAGGGGCGTCTGGGACCCGGGGCGCCCACCCGGCAACGCCTCTCGCCTCCAGGAGCTCGTGCAGGGCGAGGGTGCCGGCCGCCTGAAGGCCCAGCGCGCCGCGCGGCCGCGCGCCACCCTTGGCGGAGGAGGAGGAGGAGGAGGAGGAGGAGGAGGAGGAGGAGGAGGAGGAGGAGGAGGAGGAGGAGGAGGAGGAGGAGGAGGAGGAGGAGGAGGGGGAGGGGGAGGAGGAGGAGGAGGAGGAGGAAGAGGAGGAAAAGGAGGATGAGGAGGAGGAGGAGGAGGAGGATGAGGAGGAGGAGGAGGAGGAGGAGGAGGAGGAAGAGGAGGAGGAGGAGGAGGAGGAGGAGGAGGAGGAGGAGGAGGAGGAGGCGAAGAGGCCACAATCATTGAAATTCCGCAGGTTTTTGAAGGATTTTGGAATGTGCTGCTTTTCGGTATTCCGACGGGTCAAGACGGCCCAAGAGGCCCCCAATATCGCCCACGAGGCCTCCGAGATGGCCCCATGACGGCCCAAGAGGCCCCCAAGACGGCCCCAAGAGGGCCCAAGGGGCCTCCAAGGTGGCCAAAATGGCCTCCAAGACGGCTAAGATGGTCCCAAGATGCCTCCAAGACGGCACAAGATGCACCCAAGACGGCCCTAGATGGCCTCAAGATGGCCCGAGGCAGCCCAAGAGGCCCCCAAGAGGCCCCCAAGAGGCCCGAGACGGCCCAAAAGGCGTCCAGGAGGTCGTCCAGGAGGGCACGAAGAGGCCCCAATCATTGATTTTCCTATGGTTTTTGAACAGTTGTTGGCATTTGCTTCTTCTCGGCATTCCGACGGCTCAAGACGGCGCAAGAGGTCCCCAAGATCGCCCAGGAGGCCTCCAGGATGGCCCCATGACGGCCCAAAAGGCTCCCAAGACGGCCCTAAGAGGGCCCCCAAACGTCCCAAGAGGCTTCCAAGACGCCCAAGATAGCCTCTAAGAACCCCTGATATGCCCCAAGAGGGCCCCAAGACGACCCACACAGGCCCCCAAGACGGCTTGCGACGGCGTCAGCCAAGCCAGGAACGCCCTAAGACGGCCAAAGAGGCCCCCAAGAAGCCCCCAAAGGCCACCAAAAACCCTGGAGGACCTCTTGGAGGCCTCTTGGGCCGTCTTGGAGGCCTCTTGGGGGCCTCTTGGGCCGTCTTAGGCCATCTGGAGGCCATCTCAGGCCTTCTTGGGTGCATCTTGGGCCGTGTTGGAGGCATCTTGGGGCCATCTTAGCCGTCTTGGAGGCCATCTTGGGCGTCTTGGAGGCCTCTTGGGCCGTCTTGAGGCCCTCTTGTGGCCGTCTTGTATCCTTTCTTCCCATGCCATCCGCGAAGCCCACTGAACATGATATATCATCGGAACATCTTGCAGGGATTATGAATATTCAGGCAAAAGATTTCCCCCCAGACATCTGACACCGTGATTTTTCTCGCAGCGTGACAGCCCATATGCCGGGGCCTCTTCCCCAGGACCGGTCTTCCATCACGAGCAGTTGTTTGACTGTCCTGGGGCCAGGTGAGGGCCCCTGGAGGCGGAAATTTATCAAAAGCCCTCCGTCCCGATTCTTGCCGCCTGGGGAGGATGTCGGGGTCCCTGCTCCTGCCCCGCCTCTCCGCTCTCTTCCCTCCCGCTGCCCGCTTCGGCGAGCTGGGCCCTGGGTGGGGAGCCAGGTCTGCTCGCGAGGCGACGAGCGCGAGGCAGGCGTGGGAGGGGCCTCCTCGCCTGGCCGCGCCCGCATGGCCTCCCCTCTTGCCTCCCCGTCGCCCTCTCGAGGTCTGGGTTGGCCTGGGGCGGAAATCCTCCCTCCTCCTCCTCCTCCTCCTCCTCCTCCTCCTCCTCCTCCTCTCCTCCTCTCCTCCTCCTCCTCCCCTCCCCCTCCCCCTCCCTCCCCCTCCCCTCCTCCCCTCCTCCTCCCCCCTCCCCCTCCTCCTCCCCCTCCTCCTCCCCTCCTCCTCCTCCTCCTTCTCCTCCCCTCCTCCTCCTCCTCCTCCTCTCTCCTCCTCCTCCCTCCTCCTTCCCCCTCTCCGCCTCCTCCTCCTCCCTCCTCCCTCCCTCCTCCTCCTCCTTCTCCCCTCCTCCTCTCCTCCTCCTCCTCCTCCTCTCCTCCTCCTCCTCCTCCTCCTCCTCCTCCCCTCCTCCTCCCTCCTCCTCCTTCCTCTCTACCCCCCCCCTCCCCCCTGTCTCCGCGTCTCCCAGCCCGCCCCTCCTCGCGGGCGGCAGACGTGTCCGCCTCGGCGGCCTCGCGGGCTGGGCCCCCGGACTGCGCCCCCGCGGATGCGGGGCGCTTTCTCGCGGGTGTTCCGCGCGGAACGCATCCGTGCGACCAGGTGTCCGCGGGATCGCGCCCTGGAATCCAGACCAGGAGGGCGCGGGTGCGGACATGCTCGCCGCTCGCGACCAGCGAGACGCTTCATCCGACCTCTGACGGCGACCTCCCCCCGCCGCCGCCGCCGCCGCCGCCGCCCGCACAGGTGCTTGAGTCGCTGCACTGCACCGGCGTTCTGACGTCGAGGCCCGGGCCGCCACTCGCTGCAGCGTCGCCGCGGCTGCCGCGCGCTCCCACTTCGTCGCCGCGGCCGCCGCCGCCGCCGCCGTCGTCGTCATCGTCGTCGTCGTCGTCGTCGCCGTCGTCCTCGTCGTCGTCGTCGTCGTCGTCGTCGTCGTCGTCGTCGTCGTCGTCGTCGACGTCGTCGTCGTCGTCGTCGTCGTCGTCGTCGTCATCGTTCGTCGTCGTCGTCGTCGTCGTCGTCGTCGTCGTCATCGTTCGTCGTCGTCGTCGTCGTCGTCGTCGTCGTCGTCGTCGTCGTCGTCGTCGTCGTCGTCGTCGTCATCGTTCGTCTTCGTCGCTGTCGCTGCCGTCGCCAACATAGTCGCCGCCGCCGTCGTCAACGTGGTCGCCGCGTCGCCGGGGTCGGGGGAGGGTGGAGGAGGAGGAGGAGAAAGTGGAGGAAGGTGGTGAGGAGGAGGAGGAGGAGGAGGAGGAGGAGCAGGAGGAGGAGGAGAGAAGGAGGAGGAGGAGAAGGATGAGAGGCGGAGGAGGAAGAGGAGGAGGAGGAGAGAAGGAGGAGGGGAGGAGGAGGAGGGGAGGAGGAGGAGGGAGGGGAGGAGGAGGAGGGGAGGAGGAGGAGGAGTGGAATCAGGGAGGAGGAGCGGAGGAGGAAGAGGAGGTGAGAGGAGGAGCAGAGGAGGAGGAGGAGGAGAAGGAGGAGAGGGGAGCAGGAGGAGGAAGAGGATGAGGAGGAGGATGAGGAAAAGGAAGAGGAGGAGAAGGTGGAAGAGGAGGAGGAGGATGACGACCATGAGGAGGAGGAGGAGGAGGAGGAGGAGGAGGAGGAGGAGGAGGAGGATCATGTATAATAGTGATGACCACAATGAGGATGAGTTTGTTGACGACGGGGATGGTGATGGTGATGGTGCGATGATGGCCACTACGACGAAGACGGTGACGATGAGGATGAGTATGACGATGACGATGACGATTATGATGCTGATGACGATGATGATCATGATGGTGGTGATGATGGTGATGGCAATTCATATTAGCATGATAATCGTGTTCATGACGACGATGGTGGTGATGATGATGCTGATTATAATACTGCTGCTCCTGATGCTGCTGCTGATGACGATGAAATTGATGCGGACGGTGATGATGATGGTGATCAGGATGACGACGATTATGATGATGATGCTGATGCTGATGATGATAATGATGATGATGATGCTGCTGCTGCTGATGATGATTATTGTGATGATTGTGATACTGATGATGATGATGATGATGATGATGATGATGATGATGAGGATGATGCTGATGATGGTGATGGTGATGATGCTGCTGCTGATGATGATGATAAGGAGGATGCTCTTGATTTTGTACATCATTGCGTGTGGTGGGGATGCTATTGGTGATGGGGATGCTGCTGATGATGAAAATGCTGATTATTCTGCTGTTGCTGCTGATGCTGATGACGTCGGGCGGTGGAAGAGGAGCAGGAGCAGGAGGAGGAGGGAAACGAGGAGGAGGAGGAGGAGGAGGAGGAGGAGGAGGAGGAGGAGGAGGAGGAGGAGGAGGGGGGGGGAGGACAGAGGGGGAATGGAGAAGGGAGGAGGGAGGAAGGCGGAAGGAGGAGGGAAGGGAGGAGGGCGGAAGGAGGAGGGGGCGGACCTTGGCCGCCTCCACGTGCGCGCGATGCAAGAGAGCGGCATGCGGCTGGACACGCAGGATCGGGCGCCCTGGACCTTCATGCGGCACGGGTCCATGCACGGTCTCGAGCTCAGCGTGCACGTGGCAGGGGTTGGCGGGGCGCCTGCTCTTGGCGCATCACCAGACCTGCCGCGCGCATCACGATCTTGCACGAGCTGGGCTGGCCGGTGCCGCTGGCAACCCACTGCCGAGGCCTCGCTGGCATGCTGTGGGCGCGCGTTCACCTTGACCCTCAGTACGTGCTGGTGCGGGCTGTCTTCGGCATCTCCGAGACGATCCCCAGCAGGTGGGCGGCGCACATCCGGTCGATGATGCGGCAACTGGGCCTCTGCCCGCTGGGCGCCTCGTGGCTCTGCAGCAAAACCCAGCGCCGGCGCCTGCTGCTGGAGTTCTGGGCCGCCTGCGCCGCCGCCGTTACGAGAACGACGAGCTCCCATGGCGAGCGGCGCCCCCGCAGCTTGCAGCGGCTTCAGTGGTGGAGCGCAGCCGCAACTTGGGCGCGTGCAGCCTCGTGGTTAGGAGGCGCAGGCCTGGGTGCGCAGCTGGCGCTGCAGGGCGGCATCCGATGCGACGCCGCAGGCAGAGTCCCGCGGCGTGCACAGCCTCTGCGTCTGCGTGCGCGCCGCGGAAGCGGCGGCGCATCTCCTCCACCACGGCCCGGAGGGCCAGCGGCTGCTGCAGTGCCGCGTGGAGGAGGCCCACGACCTCAGCGCCCCAGAGGCCCGAGCGGCGTGACTGCAGCGCGGCGCCCGCCAGAGGAGGCCCCGCAGGCGGCAGCGGCGGCGGCCTGGCTTCGGCGGCGCTGCGAGGAGGCCCGTCCGGCCCTGGCCCCTCGGGCCAGGCCCGACCAGCGGCGTGTCTCCGACGAGGGCCCCCGGCAGGCCCGCAGCCCCGCCAGGTCGCGGCGCGCCAGAAGGCCCAGCGTGTCCGCCCTGCCTGCGCTGCCGTGCCCTGGCCGCGGAGGGAGCCAACCAGACGGCCAGGGGCTCTCGGGCCCGGCCACGTCGGTGATGGCCAGGGCCCCTGGCCCGTGCGGCCCAGGCGGAAGCGCCGGAGGGATTGCGCGGCCGAAAGATCGGTAATGGGTAACATGGGTGGGAGGAGGGAGAGTGGAGGGTGGGCGTAGGGTAGGGAGGGTGAAGGGTTCCTGCCCTCAATCTGAAAGGCAAGGATGAACGACTTTCCAGGGCTACCCTTGCATCCTTCTCCTTTTGTTTTGTTTGCCCCGTTCGCTCTCACGTGCTAATTTTAAGTCGGGCGTGTCCCGCTACAGGGGGAATGTTCAAAAGTAGTCAACAAATAGTATGGGGACGATTTTTTTTGAGGATTTGTGTTGTTGCCGTTGTTTTAGTATGTTTTTGGACATTTTTTATTCTTTCGTCCAAAATCCCCCTGTAGGGGGACACGCCCGAGTTAATGCTAGTTTCATGTCCGTTACGTTTTCGGCGTTGTCTGCGAAGTTCGTTTCGTTGTTCGTTTGCCTCATCGGTGAATGGTGGCCTCGTTTCGTTTTTCGGTTTCGTTTGGTACCGGTTTAGTTCAAACGAAGGTCCGTTTTAAACGCTGGGCTTCATTTCGTTTTCGATTTAGACACCATTTCGTTTCAAACATCGTTGCCCCCCGTCCTCGTTTCGGGGGAGCGTAAGACCCGGGTTTGCCAGGACTTGGGTTCGCCATCGTTTTTTGACGACCGCGCCTCGGATTTTGGCGAGGAGGAGCTTCGTGGGATGTCTGCAGCGGGAGGCCTCGTCAAAATGCAGGCTCGGCCTCGTCATTTTTTTGACGACCTCGTCGAGGATTTCCGAGTCCCCCGTACCCGGGTCTTACGTCTCCCCGAATTTCGTTTTCGATTTAGACACCATTTCGTTTCAAACATCGTTGCCCCCCGTCCTCGTTCTTTGGGTTGACGGCAGTTGCATCGGAGGGGCAGGGGGAGCCCGCGGCCAGGCCGGCCTCGCGGGACGTGCGCATCGAGCAGGTGACGATGTCCATCTACGGCCTCCCCGCCCAGCGTCCTCCCCGACAGTGATACTTCTTGGGCGATGCTTAAGAAAACTCATTTTTTCGGCCAGAGTCTCGATTATTCTTAATGTTTCAGTGTGAATCCCAAGATTTGAATAGACATTCTGGGTTTTTATTCAAATTCTGAGACTATGAATTTCTTAACCCATGATTTCTTAAGCATTTCGCAGGGTGTACTTTCTTTTACTCATTGTTTTGCCGATAGGCGCGGGCCCTCGCACGCCCCACGCCCCCCTCCCCCATGTAGCAGATCTTGGCTGTTTTTGGGCGCCTGTTTCGAGCGGGTGGAGTCTCCCCCACAGGATGCACTGCTGCAGACCGTCGCACTGAGCAGGGGTCCAGAGCCAGACCCCCCCCCCCCCTCTTCTCCCCCTCTTCCGCCCAATGTCGAAACGCCGTATACAAAAAACGCTCCCGAAGACGCTCCCCCACCCCCCTCGGGAAGGGGTCCACACCTTCTGGAAGTCCACGTCCACGCTGTGAATCTTTCACGTCGTCGGGGGTCTGAGCCTCAAGGATTGTGCGTTTTGATCTTTTGCGGCTTCCGGGTGCTTGGGGGGACTCTGTGGGCCTCTGTTGCCTCCAGGATCTGTAGAATCGGCTTCAAGGAGCTGGCCTTCGTGAGCCTCCGGCGGCTGCCAGATGCCACTGGGAACTTCTGGGACCTCTGGAGACCTCCTGGGAGCTGTGGGGACCTCCAGAGGCCCCTTCGAGACCTCAGGGACAGGAGCAGGGAGGAGGGAGGAAGGGAGGGAGGAAGTGAGGGAGGAGAACGGTGTTGGAATAAGCTCTCCCTCCAAGGTCCCTCTTCACAGGCCCCTGCGACGGTTCATTTCCATTGAGGGAACTGCCTCGTTAGAAGACAACCGTTTGAAGACCCTGAAGCATGCCAAAACAGTGTTTTCGGAATTCCAACGCCACGGATCAACCTGATTGTTGCGTCTTAAGGATCTTGAATCGTGCCAGAACGCCATTCCTGGGACTTCATAGCGAAGCAACGTAACTGTTGCGCCCGCATTATCCGGAATCCTTTACAAACACAGTTTCTGGTACGTTGATAATGGGAATCCGTGAAACTCTTGCAAATTTGGTAAACGAATGTGCACGGCGCTTCGGTGAGAGCCACATGTTGAAGAGGAACCGCGTTCAATTCGTGAAACTCTTGCACATGTTTTACAACGAATGTGCGCCGCGTTAAGGTGAGAGTCACATATTGAAAACGAGTGGCTGTCACGCCCTCAATCCGTGAAGCTCTGGCAAATGTTCAAAACGAATGTGCACCGCGCTAAGGCGAGAGACACATTTTGAAAACGGCCCGCCCTCCATCTGTGAGTTGCTAATTCTTAAACGCAGGGTCATACGTGATGAGGAAGTCTCAGGCAAAACGCCGGGCCCGCCCTAATTATTGGCCTCGGCGTGCGACAGGGAGAAGTTATGTATAAGGAGAAGGAATGGAGGTGGAGGAGGAGGAGGCGGAGGAGGAGGAGGAGGATGAGGATGAGGTGGAGGAGGAGGAGGAGGAGGAGGATGCGAGTAGGAGGACGAGAAGGACAAGGAGGAGGAGGAGGAGGAGGTGGAGGCGGAGGGGAGAGGAGGAGGGAGGAGGGGGGGGGGGATGGAGGAAAGTCAGGAGGGAAGGAGGAGGAGAGAAGGAGGAGGAGGAGGAGGAGGAGGAGGGAGGAGGGGGGGCGGAGGGGGGGGGAGGAGGAGGAGGAGGAGGAGCGGAGGAGGAGGCGGAGGAGGAGAGGAGGAGGAGGAGGGAGGAGGAGGGGAGGAGGAGGAGAGGAGGAGGAGGAGGAGGAGGAGGAGGAGGAGGAGAAGAAGAAGAAGAAGAAGCATAATAATAATAATACTACTACTAATAATAATAAGATTAATAATAATACTCATAATAATAATACTAATAATAATAATAAGAAGGAGGAGGAGGAGGACGAGGAGGAGGGAGGAGGGAAGAGGGAGGAAGGAGGAGGGAGGAGGACGAGGACGAGGATGGGGGAAGGAGAGAGGGGATTCGATGTTTTTTCCCTTTTGATGGTCTCCCGGGTGGCCGTTGCCAGAGGGAGCATTAAGGAAGTAAGGAGGGGCACCCGCCAAACCGTATCTGTGGTTAGCCCCCGAGGAGCGACAATGGCCAGTTTGGGGACATTAGCGGGCCTCCTGGAGGCAGCTTTGAAGCCAAATGGAGGCATCTTAGGACCGTCATGGGAGCCTCCATGGCACTCTTGGGGCTCTCCTGGGGCGCTCGTGTGGCCCTGCTGAGAGCCACTGGGGTGTGCTCTTATTGGGGCCACGCGTGAGGCCGTGAACGAGAAAAGGGGTGCACGCAATTATGCTCCCCCCCCTCCTTGTCTTGGAGCCCGAGCAGTCGCCTCTTGGGGCTCTCCTGAGGCTTTCTTGGGGTGCTCCTTGGTGCCATTATGAGCCCCCCTGGACCTCCTCTCAGTCCCTTGGCATCGCTCGGGCGTGTGAAGTCTGTTGGTCGGCGAGGACCATCGAGGAGCATCCTGGATCACCAGGCAACAGAACACAACTGCACAGGGAATTGACGTCCGAGCGATGGCAAGGTTCGTCTTGGGTCCATCTTCGGGCCTCCGGAGCGCAACGGCGAGAAAACGAAAAATGTGTTCATTGCAGGCTTGTTTGCGGTTCTGACCTCTTGGATACATCCTTGGGAGACTCAGTGGCCACTTCGAACCATCTTCGGACTGTCTTACGTAGACCCTCTTCGAGGCAGATTGTTGGACTCGATGGGCCAATTTGGGAAATCTTGTGCCATCTTGGAGGCAATCTTGGCCTATCTCTGGCCATCTCGGAGCCGCGTAGGGCCTCTTGGACGCGCTGACCGCTCGAGCGTTTCCCGTCCCTCTGCACCCCGAGGGAAGAACTTCCTATATTATAGGGGGCTGGCCCCTCCCAGCCTCGCAATTGTGCCGCTGGTGCTGCAGTCGGTCACGCCCTGGACAGCACAGAGCCAGACAGGGCAGTGCCTCCAAGATGGCGCCCGAGGGGCAATTTTGGCCCCAGGCGGCTTTCAACGTGGCCCCAAGCGGCGCCAAGAAGGCCCACACCAGATGCACAGCAGCAAAAATCATAGTCTTGCGTGCTGCAAGGAAAATATCACCCAAACATACTTATACTACATGTGCGTCGCCCCCCCAGGGGCGACGCGCGCACCGAGAAATCTTATAGTATATGCGTTGTGGCGGGCGCTTTCTGGCCACACCGCTCGGGAAACGATATACTACAAGATGGGTATACTATATGTTTGGGTCGGACGCACGCCTCCAAGAAGAACATCTAGTACTAGTATGTCTTTGTGTATCCCAAAATATGGTCGGGCACGTCGCTGGAACGAAGGCGGCGCCGGCATGCCAAGACGCGAGGCGGCCGAGGGGGCCGCCGCCTCAGACTGGCGGCCACGAGAAGCCAGCGAGATGACAATTCATTCTTGCAGCGAGGGCTTCCTGTCTCTCGTCCTCCTCCTCCTCCTCCTCCTCCCTCCTCCTCCTCCTCCTCCTCCTCCTCCTCCTCCTCCTCCTCCTCCTCCCTCGCGCTTCTCGTCGTCGTTTTGTCCTCCTCCTGGCCCGCCCCGTCTGCGCGCCCCCGCCGTGCGCTGGCACTCGGCCCCTACCCATCGTGTCCGCAGGGTGGGCAGGGGCTGGAAGCTCCGGGTGGCCTCAGACCGACGCTGCTCGCTGTGGGCCCCTTGCATCCCCTGCTGATATCCCATATCCCGCTCGTGCTCCTCCTGCTTCTCCTCCCCCCCCCTTGCTCTTCCTCCGGCTGACAGGTCCCCTCGCGTCCTGGACAGTATTCGTTGTTGCTGTCTCCGGGCTCGGGGGGCCTCTCCGGGCCCCGGCCCGTCAAAGACGACTCGGGATGAAGAGCCGCACCTGGGGAAGGGGTGCAGATTTCGTCAACACAGTCACGACGTCTGGGGTCTGGGTCCTCCGCCACGGCGACCCGCCCCGATCGCCCTTCGGAGCCCGCTGCGCAGCGCACCCGGCGCCATGAGTGCGGCAGCCCGGAGCCGACACCACGCGCTGCACGAGCGCGTGCCCGAGCCCGACCGCCCTCGTCGCCGCCCTCCTCCGCAGCAGCCTCGGCCCAGGGCCACGCACCGCCGGCTGCGCCCCGATGGCTGCCTTCGTCCTCCGACGCCTGGCGGGCGGCCCCACGGCCAGCGCGGGCGCGACCGCGGCGGGCCTCGTGGACTTCGACGCCGTGCCGGTCCAGGTGGACTCTGGCGACGAGGCGCGGGGCGCCACGCCGCGGGTGCTGCCAGAGATGCGTCCCTGGGAGGAGGAGGAGGAGGAGGAGGAGGAGGAGGAGGAGGAGGAGGAGGAGGAGGAGAAGGAGGAGGAGAAGGAGGAGGATGTTTCAGGACGTTTCAGGATGAAGACAGCAGAAGTCTAGGATCGGATGGCGAAGCCCATCGAATTGGCAACAAACAGAAACTGCACCATGGCTTCTGCATATGAGAATTCTGAACGAGTCCCTGTGACTCCGCATCTCTGACCGCGCGAGGAGGCCCTGAGGGGTGCGGGTACTTACCCGCTCGGATCTTGGCAAGATTCTGCCGTCCCTTGGGAGACGGCTCACAGTGCTTTACGAGCTGACGGGGGTCGGAGGTGCAACTCTTGCCGCATGCCGTGCAGCAGGTCAACATGTACTTACTCCAATACTGCAATTTGTGAGACTCGTGGAGCTCCTTTCCCCCAATCCGCTGGGGACCCCGAAGAGGCGAAAACCTGGAGGAGCTCCTGGACACACAACGCGTTGAACACATCTGGAAGATCGAATCTTGATTCGAAAACAGGTTACATTTGCGGCAAAAGAATTTTGCACCAGCGTGACCCCAAGAGTGCTCAGACGACTGCAAAGCCTGGGCCAGATTGGGGAGGGGAGCGGCCCCCTCACGGTCGGGACGCTCCGAGGTCCACGGATCGGCTTGGATACTCGCAGCCAGAGC